TCCCAGACCTGGCGGCTTCTTTCTCACATGCCCTCTCTCTCTCTCTCTCTCTTACTCTGTCCCTTTCTGGTCAAATTAAAATTAATTAATTAAATAAGTTAAATTAAATAAGTCTTTTTTATCCCTATAGGGCACATGTGCTTGCCAGAAAGACAGAGAGAGACAGAGAGATAGAAAGCGAGAAATCACACCCCCAGGGGGGCTGGCCACACTGCAATCCCTTCTCCTCCATTCTCCTCTCGGGATCTTGGGCACACAAGCTCACGTGCCTGGCGTGAGTTTAAACCGTTGGGTCTGGAACTCGAACCGCAGTCGGCTACATAGGAGTCCAGCAACGTAGCCATTACGCTAACGGCTGGTCCCAAGAATTATATTTTGTTTAACTTTATTCTTTATTTCTTTATTTTAATTTGACCAGAGAGGGACAAAGTGAGAGAGAGAGAGCACGGGAAAATGAGAAAGCAAGTCACCAGGTCCAGGACTCGAACTGCAGTCAGCCATGTGGGAGTCCAGCACCCTTAACCACCACACCTCCTGCTGGCCCCAAGCCAAGATATTCTTTCCCAGACTTCTCAGAAGTGTTATTTAAGCAGTGATTTTAGCTTCCCAGTCTCTCTTTCTGCCTGTGCACGTCAGCCTGGTTCTCCCTGTGATTCTGCGAGCTACCTAATACTCTCTCACGAACTTCTTTTCCTCTCCCTCTATTCTTCTCCTCCTGCCCCTCATTTTCCTCTTTCTTTTACCTGCCAGAAGTCCATTTCTGTTGCTTGCAAGTAATATCTCTGGCTGACGCACCATGTTCTTTGCTTTATTCTCATCCATACTCACCAAGAAAGCTCCTGGTTAGTATTTCAGATACTTAACTACTAGGACAGAAGAACACCAGACAGCGGATGAGAGCATCCCAGCATTTGGAAAGTGATGGTCCCATCATCAATGTAGGTATTTATTCCGGTTAGACCAGGTCTCCTATGCTTTTAAGTAAAGTAGGCCTGTCCCCAAGAGACCATCCTGGGTGTGCTAAAGAAATGCAGTCAATACCCACTAAACCAAGGACAAGACTCCAGACTGTGGAGACTGAGAAGGGTGACCCCAATAAGCCTAACCTACAGCAAGCCAGCATGTGACACTCCCAGACTGCAATCCCCAAACACACCACCCCAACCAAGTAACCTCCCTAGGAAGCTTGACATCCATAAATATATCTCTGCCTTGTCTCTCACAGCACTTATTTATTAAAAAGTGAATTTACCATTTTTGTTCATTAATCCCTTTCAGACAAAATAATTATTTTGTAAGGCTGGGTTTTCTGTGTCTATTAAATTGAGAGGAAAAGAGAGACACACTACAATTAGCTATTAATCATTTTGTTTCATAACCATTCCATCTCATATCTGTTATTAATAATCTAGCTATTATCTGATTGCAGAAGAACCAATAGCAATTTAAATGCGTGCTGTCCATATAGATATGTTGCCACACGTGATACTCTCTGAGGTTTAATCTCAGAGACTAGAACACAAAACATCAAATCTATAAGCTAGGGCCCAGCAAGTGGCTTAGTGGTTAAGGCACAGGACTCCCACATGGCCGAATGCAGTTCAAGTCCTAGACCCAGGGGCTTGAAACTTGCACCAGGCATGAGTGTGTGCATGCCGAAAATCCCAAGACAAGAATGGAGGAGAAGGGAATGAGACATGGCCATCCTTGCCGGAGGGTGATGGCTGACTTTCTCTCTCTCTCTCTGGTGAGTGCATGTGCTCTATAGCAAAAATCTCTTAGGAAAAAAAGTCTATAGGCTATATCTTCGAATTAGTTGAATCCTAATCTTCACAGCCTTACTGACTTTCAAACAAAAAAAAATTCTACTTTCTGAGACTGGCAGGTGTCATCTCAAAGATAACAAATAGTTATCTATGAGATCAGTTAAAAATAAGACAAATAGGGAACCAGCAGTT